TATCCCAAGAATGGAAAAACAAGCACCACATGTACTCACCATCAAATTGGTATTGACTGATCAACACTTAAGTACACATATAAGAATAACATTTATTGGATGTTGGCCAGGGGGGAGGGGAGAGGGGGGAGGAGGAGATAGGCATATATATGCACAAACAGTGTGATACGCACCATCTGGTTGATGGATACGCTTGAAGCTCGAACTTGGGGGGCAGGGGGAGCAAGGGCAACATACGTAACCTAAACATCTGTACCCCCGTAATATGCTGAAATAAAAAAAAAAGAATATGAGCTGTTGCATGTATAAGGGATTTGTTGCATATAAGTGATTCTACCCAACAACAACCATTTATTAATATCAATAAAATAAATGGGAAAATTACATGGGGTGGGGAGGTGGCCCCAAACAACTGTAATGCAACATTTTCTTAAAAAAAAAAAGACTTATTCAGTAATTGAATTTTAGTTTAAATCTTACAACTGAAATAATATCTTAATCTGTTTTGTGCTGCTAGAATAGAATACCTGGGACTGAGTGATTTATAAAGAACAGACACTTATTCTCTCACAGTTCTGAAGGTTAGTTCAGGATGAAGGTGCTGGCGGGTTAGGGCCTGTCTCTCTACTTCCAAAATGGCACATTGAGCACTAAAGAGAGGAATTCTGTGTTCTCACGTGGTCGAAGAGCAGAAGAGAGAGAAAGCCCACTGCCACAAGCCTTTTTTATAGCATTAACCCATTCATGAGGGTGGAGTTCTCATGACCTAAATAGCTCCCATAAGGCCCCACCTCCCAAAAAAAAAAAAGTTGTCAAACTATTTTATAATAATTAATATTCAAATTTTAAGGTATTTTTATAATTTCCACATTTAAAAATGTAGAAAATGTCTTTACATTGTTTCTCTGCACTCTTTAATAACTACCAAAAGAACATTTGTTTCACAGTGTATGATGTAGTGTGCCTCTTGTTTTAAAACAAAGCTTTGGAATCAAACAGACCTAGACATGAGTCTTGGCTCTGACGCTAATTCTGTGGCCCTGAACTAATGCTATCACGTAAGTGGCAGTCTCATCTATAAAATGAAGACATTCGGATCCAGCCCATGGAGCTGTTTTGAGGGCTTAAAGAAATATGAAATACTTAGCACAATGAATGATAGTTGCTATTATTATCGTTATTGTTTTTATCGAGAAGAGGTTCTACTGTCTCCTTAGTCTAGTTAAAATACTTTGCCCATTTGCCTTTGCTACAGTTGAAAATATTTGTAGTAGCAGTGGTTAGACCAAGTATGAAAAGTAACATATACACATGGTAAGACTTCAAAGACAGGCTGTTGCAACTTTCTTTTCAGAATATCTGTTCTACAGGACATTGTAGTTATGTTTTCACTCCTTTTGTAGCAATTGGGGCACTGAAGATGATGAAACCCAGAGTTACCATAGTGGCAATTCAGACCCTCGAGGATTTGGTATGTTTGTCTATTTGTATGTAATATATATGGCTTTGTGTGATTTTGCATTGTGTACATAATTATGGTTATAATAAACCTAAAACATTAATGGCCTAATTATTAAATATGATCAATTTATTAGAGGTATGGTTATTTTTATTTCCACAAATAATGTTATTTAGGAATTGTTTTATTTCAGAGTCTTAGTCTAAACATTATATTTACTCTTTCACAATGATTTTACTTTAAGTCTCCGTATTATATTTCCAGTAGACTTTGTAATTTTAAAACAAAAGCTGTAGTTAATTAGAATCCCAATTTCTGCTAGCATACAGTTCCGCCTTGCATAAAATCTCTCAACTGAGATGACAGGATTACAGTCTTCAGTTGGCTGCCATATAGTCAACACCAATAACAAACCTATTAAGTATGAGTAAATAATTATTCTTTTTTGGTGTAGACTATTCTTTTTTTTTTTTTTTTCTGAGACAGGGTCTCACACTGTCAGCCAGGATAGAGTGCCATGGTGTCATCATAGCTCACTGCAACTAAACACCTGGGCTCAAGCCATCCTCCTTCCTCAGCCTCCCAAGTAGCTGATACTAGAGGCGCACACCACCACGCCTGGCTAATTTTTCTATTTTTTGTGGAGATGGGGTCTCACTTTTGCTCAGGCTGGTCTCAAACTCCTGGCTTCAAGCAATCCTCCTGCCTCAGCCTCCCAAAGTGTTAGGATTACAGGGGTGAGCCACTGTGCCTAGCCTAGTTATAGACTATTCTTAACAGATTGACCTACCTATGAGCCAGTGTTGGTTTATTTTAAATAACTTATTGTTCAGAGCAACTAATTAATTCACTAAGCCACTTAGACCTATATTTGTTCTTAATATACTGTAGATTTTGAACCTACTTAAGTCAGTCTATTTCTAAGTGCCTTATGCTTTGAAATAAACAAGTTTTGGAAGCTACTTGTGGCACTTGGATAGTCTGTTGTAATTATTTCTTCTCTACTTTTTTGGGGGGGGTGTCAACTAAGGTCACATTGGAATTGCTGTTCCTGATGTACACGGTGCTTGTAAAAGATTTGAAGAACTGGGAGTCAAATTTGTGAAGAAACCTGATGCTGGTGAGTCTGCTCCTTATAGTGTTCAGTCCTCTCTTTAGTTAAGTAATTAATACTCACTAAGCACCCACAGAGGGCACTGCTGTAGTAAAACCCTTTGGCTGCAAATAACAGAAGTCTACTTGAAACAGCTTTTTTTTTTTTTTTAGACAGAGTCTCCCTGTGTTGCCCAGGCTAGAATGCCGTGGCGTCATCCTAGTTCACAGCAACCTCAAACTCCTGGGCTCAAGGAATCCTCCTGCCTCAGCCTCCCGAGTAGCTGGGACTACAGGCATGCGCCACCATGCCAGGCTAATTTTTTCTATATATATATATTTTTAGTTGTCCAGATCATTTCTTTCTATTTTTTAGTAGCGACGGGGTCTCGCTCTTGCTCAGGCTGGTCTCGAACTCCGGAGCTCAAAACAATCCGCCCGCCTCTGCCTCCCAGAGGGCTAGGATTACAGGCGTGAGCCACTGCGCCCGGCCTTGAAACAGCTTTTAAAAAGAGGGGAAATTATTGGAAGAATACATGAGCATCTTAGGGAACTGAAAGACAGCAACTAGGGTGGCTTTACAAAGGACCAGACACAGGACCTGGAAAGCGTCAAAAACCTGGGCTCCCACTCAGACCTACGGCATTCTCTCATTGGTCACCAGGCTTTCACTATTTTAGGGTGTATCTGGCCACCCAAAAATAAGTTCCTTAAAGCATCTTTTATCTTGAACTCCTGGCCTCAAGTGATCCTCCCACCTCAGCGTCCCAAAGTGCTGGGACACAGGCATGAGCCACCACGCCTGCTTAAAGTCTATTTTATCTGATATTAATATAACTATACCAGCTCTTTTTAGTTAATAATTGCTGGTATTTCTTTTTCATCTTTTACAACCTTTCTATGTCCTTATGTTTTTAGGTATGTTTCTTGAAAAAGCATATATCTGGATTTTGTTGGATTTACATGTATTATAATTATTTTACTTAGATCTGTTTCTGCTATCATAATTTATTATTTCAATTTTTTTTTATTATTTCAATTTTAATTTGAAATATTTCACTATTTCATTTTAATCTTTTTCTTTTTTTATTAACATATTTAACATCCAAATCATCTCCCCAATAAGAGAAGAACTTGCTCCCCTCCACCCCATCCTGTTTCTGTTACCTAGACTGGGATATTATTGATTTATTTTTTCTTCTCTTCGGCTTTGGCTTTTTTTTTAAACATAACAAAAAATATATTAAGGTATTTGATCACCTTTTTTTCATACATCTCTTGTAATGTCTTTTGGATTTTTCTGTCCCTTTATTTAAGTACCTCAACCAAAACTATTTTCAAAGAGTTTGTAAAGCACAACCTTTGAGACTCTCTATGCCTGAGAACCCGTTTATATAAATGACAGCTTTGTGGAAAATCCTAGGTTTATTTTCCTTCAATTTTCAAAATATTGCTGTATTTTCTTTTTGCATACAATGTTGCTATTGAAAAATCTGCTTTCATTCTGATTATATTCTTTTGTTCTGAAAGCTTTTTATATTATTTCTTTGTCTTTGCCTTCTTTCTGAGAGATTTCCTTCAACTGGAATACCAATTAATTAATTTTTCCCCAAAGGTATCTGTTCTAATATTTAACCCATCTATTGTGTTCTTAATCATCGTTACAATTTTGATCCCAAATTTTTTCTTGGTTTCTTTAATATTTTCTTGTTCTTGTTTCATATTGGGAACATTTCATACTGCTCATTACTTGTACATGTTTAAATGGTTCTTGGTCCATTATTCTAATATTTCTTTTGTTTGAATCTATAATCCATTGTTTTGGGGTTTTTTAATGGTTATGTTTCACAAATTCTTGTTATTTTGGCCTCTGAGCCTTTTTTCCTCCAGCAGCTGTTAGCTATTCCAATCCATCAGGCAGTGTGAACAGGGAAAGACCAGACCCCGCTACTTAACAACCCGAGTGATCTCAGGAAGATGGGCTGGGTGAGCCCAGAGTGGAGATCCCTAGGTACCCGGAAATGAGACCTAAACACTTAACACTCCACCAAGCAACTCTTCAGGTCAGATCCTCCTGCCTTTTTGCTCAGGGAGAAGCGGTCTTAGTAGGAGACACTTCTGAGGTTGTTATTTCCTATTCCTGGATATGTGGAGAGAGGGCCGGGGAGATCAGTTGGCCCCCACCTGTTTATCTTGGTTTCCCAAAGCACAAAGCTCCTGCACCGTCCTTATTTACTCCTAAGGACCTCTGAACAAGTGTGAGGACAGGTGCTGTTGCCCGAGGCACTTGGGACAGTGGGGGACAGGGGGAGCAAGAGCAAAACTCCTGTTTATTCTCCCACAGCTGTGATGCACAGCCTTCTGATCTAGGCGAAAACTGTCCCCTCCTACGCAGACCAGGTTAAAACAGTCATCCCATCCCATCCCTAACCCTCACCACCAGGGTTTCTTTCTCTCTCGCCCTTTTTTTCTACATTTTCCTTCTGTGTTTTTTTGCATTTTCCATCTGTGTTTCTCTAGGTTTGATCCTGGGGAAAGGAGCCAGAGATAGGAGTCAAACCAATCCAACATCTTGGTCCCCAGATAAATTTTTGAGGTCACATTTTTTCCATTTAAGCAAACAACTTTGACCTGCTAGCCTTTCAATCCCAGTTATGATGAATTCCTGGGAGAAAGAATCTGATTGGCAGAGTTTGGGTTGCCTAGTATACTGTTGAAAAGGGTTTGTGTGACCAAGCATCTAGGTCTTTTGTGTGGGTAAACCATGCTACCAGCTCCCCTCAGCAACCCCCATCTTCTTTTTCTTTAAAAAAAGACAATTTCTCTGACTGCTGAACTGGTAGCATGAAATGGTTTCACAAAGGTGAAGCGAATACCTGATACTTCCGATACCTAAAAGATGCAGCCAGTCCCACAGTTTATTTCAGGATGGCTGGTTTTCAGGTATGTGTGGAAGATAACATTTTAGTCATTATGAAAAATATGCATTTGGGCAACACTGACTGTATAGAATTTTTAAAAATTAAAACTACAAACAATAAAAAAAAAACTACAAACAAAAGAATGTACTTCATTAAAATTGAATTAATAAAATTTGTTTTAACTTTTAAGGTTTCTTTTTTTGTCTTTTCGATAATGAAAATTTTCATTTTACAGGTAAAATGAAAGGCCTGGCATTTATTCAAGATCCTGATGGCTACTGGATTGAAATTTTGAATCCTAACAAAATGGCAACTATTATGTAGTGCTGTGAAAATGCTCCTTTGAGATTTCAGTGAAGACAGAGATTAAAAAGGAAACAATGTGATTCAAGATATTCAGAGACCAGGAGCGTCTAGGACTGATGGATCATGGTTGCAATTCAAATTATTTTTAAATCCATTTCCCTTTCCTATTTCAGCTGGGTTTTTTTCACCTAACTGTTCAGTCACTCTGGTTTTAAAGTAATGCTTTATCTTATGTCCTTGAATATAGTTGTATAACTTTACTTTTTAGTTAATAATTAGAACAATTCCCTTTAGAAGCTGTATTTATTTGCCGCCTTCTATCTCCTAAATAATACTTCTCTTCAAGTCTGCCTTTCAATCATCATTTTCCCAAAAAAAAGTATTTAACATGTTTTTGTTGTGGTTATCTTCTGGGGTTTCAATTCCTCAGAAATAACTTTTCACAGTGGAAAGTAAAGAATGTAAAATGGGAATGAAACTTCATGTGTACTTCAAACAGTACAAAGTGTTTATTTTACAAAAGAGCAGGTACTCGTGAGAGTAATTCAGGATCATGCTGACAAGGTTACTGAAAAAAAAGCAGTTTCTTTTTATTTATAAAGTACATTTAAAGTTCAAGGACTAGCCTCATTTAATTGGGAATGGGAAGGGGGAAAGGAATAATATTTATTTACTGGGTACCCAGACACTAGGCTGTAACATATTTTATCTCATTTAATACTTACAGCTCTCCCTATAAGAAAGAAAGCAGGCTAATCATGTAAAATAACTTTAGTGAATTGAAGGCAATATAAATAGGCTCAAGTATTTAAGATCTCATCATTTTTAGTATTTAGATCGTGCCTCAAAATTAGTACCTCACAATGCGTCCTCCACTAGCCTCCTGTTGCAGAAACCGTCAGTGGCTTTGTGCATTGTGCTCTTGGCTCTCAAGCCTGAGTACCATGGTGAGGGAAGAAGTAGAAGAAATGTTTAGCACAAGACAGCTCTGGGGACCCCGTGTTATTCCTGCTCAGGTAATGCTTATATTAGTTGTGAAGAATCCTCCCTACTCCAAGGTCTTCTTGATGACAGTAGCCACATGTAATAAATTATGTTCAGTGAAAACTTAGTTAATCAGAAATCCGCTCCGTGGTCTTCCCTCCCATGATTGACATTTGATGGGTTTTTAAAAATCAAAGTGATTTTGGAAATCTCTAATGACCTGGAAAATAAAAACATCCAGTTTGTGGTTGACTGCATTTGGATTTTCTGTAGGCTCTAATGGAAAACCTTTGGATAGGCCATGTAAACTGTGCTTGCACTGCTAGAAGCACTTTACATTTCCTTTTTGGATGAAATGGATTTATGCTAGCAGTTTAAACAAACAACGGTACTTACATACTGAAATAAAATTTCAAATAAGACTATGTTTGAGGCTGGGCGCGGTGGCTCATGCCTGTAATCCTAGCACTCTGGGAGGCCGAGGCGGGTGGATTGCTCAAGGTCAGGAGTTCGAGACCAGCCTGAGCAAGAGCGAGACCCCGTCTCTACTAAAAAATAGAAAGAAATGATCAGACAACTAAAAATATATAGAAAAAATTAGCTGGGCATGGTGGCGCATGCCTGTGGTCCCAGCTACTCGGGAGGCTGAGACAGGAGGATCGCTTGAGCCCAGGAGTTTGAGGTTGCTGTGAGCTAGGCTGACGCCATGGCACTCACTCTAGCCCGGGCAACAAAGCGAGACTGTCTCAAAAAAAAAAAAAAAAAGACTATGTTTGAATTTTAAGCTTCTGTCTAGCAAGTTCTTTCTTTAAAAAAGCCTGCCCTTAGTACTAAAGAATTTGAAAAGTCATGCAGCTTCATTCTGAATTAGGGACAGCTGTAATTCTGTGCAGCTGTCAAGTGGGTAGTTTCTATGGATAAGCAAGTGTGGGAAAGGTGGGCAGAGGAAAGTAAATAAGGAATAAAAGATTGTGGTAGATAAAGTGCAAAGAGAAGAAAGGCCAAATATCAAAAGGTGAGTCATAGGAACTTATGAAGACCAAATTTACATGTTGAGTACTAAAGTTAGCAAATAGAAAGGCTCAGAGATTCATCAATTCAGTCATTTAAGCCTTATTTCCAGGGGAAGAAGTCTTCTCTACTTACTAAGTAGAGAAATGTCTTTGCCAAAAGATAGCCCTTGCTTATTCCTTAAATTCATTCATATATGAATTGAAAAATATATACAGTTGACCCTTGAATAACATGGGTTTGAACTGCCTAGTTCCACTTACACAAGAATTTTTTCAGCTAAATGCAGATTGAAAATACAGTGTTTGCGGAATGTGAAACCCGTTTATCTGGAGGGCTGACTTTCCATATGTCGACTGTGGGACTTGAATATTTGAGGATTTTGGTATCCGTGGGATATCCTGGAACAAATCTGCATATATTGAAAGATGACTGTATGTCCTATCACCAGGCCTTGCTTAGGAAAAGAGCAATTCACTTCCAAATTAACTTACCTGAGAAATGATGATATGAAAGGGTGAACTAGAGCCCAAGAAATTTTCTTGTTTTCCATGATTACAGTCAATATAGAATAAGGCAGTCTCCCGTGAACCCTGCATAGCTAAGACTGGAACTCAGTTATAAAACAGGTGGTTTGAACTAAGAGCTGATGGCTGGAAGGGAATCGCCTGTGGCTTCCCCACACAGTATTTTGACCAGGATTGCATACAGTGTGTCTTAATTCAGGCTGCTATAATAAAAATACCATAGACTGGGTGGCTTAAACAACAAATTTGTATTTCTCAGAGTTCTGGAGGCTGGGAAATTCAAGACTGAGGCACCAGCAGATGCAGCATCAGGTGAGGCCCCCTTCCTGGCTCGTAGACCTGCGCCGCCTCGTTGTGTTCTGACACAGCCAAGAGGTCATCTCTCTCACTGTCTCTTACGAGAGCACCAATTCCATTCATGAGGGTTCCCCTTCATGGCATTACCTCCCAAAGGTCCCACCTCCAAATGCCATCACGTGGGGGATTAGACTTACACATGTGAATGGGGGGAGGGACACAAACATTCCATCCATAGCACAGTGTACATAAATAATCTACAGCAACACAGCTGCTTGTGAGGAAGGTTGTATCAGTAAGGATGCTTGCAGCTGGCAATAAGAAAACCAACTATGGCCAGGCACCATGGCTCCACGCCTATAATCCTCGCACTCTGGGAGGCTGAGGCGGGAGGATCGCTTGAGCTCAGGAGTTCAAGACCAGCCTGAGAAAGAATGAGACCCCTCCACCCCCCATCTCTACTTAAAGAAAAATTAGCCAGGTGCACGCCTGTAGTCCCAGCTATTTGGGAGGCTGAGGCAGGAAGATCACTTGAGCCTACGAGTTTGAGGTTGCTGTGAGGTAGGCTGATGCTACTGCACTCTAGCCGGAGCAAGACTCTGTCTCAAAACAAAAAGAAAAGAAAAAACCCAACTCTGATATAGCAAGCACTTCAGAGATTCCAAAATGGGTTTTTAGAGGATTCAGAGATACCAAGAACCCCAGATTCCTTCCATCTTTCCCATCCTGTCATTGTCAGCATTTTTCCCTTTAGGCAAATAATACTTGTGATCAAAGATGCCTACCATGATTCCAGGTGTCGTGTGTAGACCAACAATGTCCAGTGAAAGAAAATAACATTTTATTCCTCATGTGTCTTTACTTTCATAAGGACTTTCCAAAAGAGTCCTCAGCAGAATTCTCTCATGTCTCAGCCAGAGCTGGGTCACTTGTCTGTCTCTAATCACTGGCAAAGGGGATGGGGCCACTCTGACTTAGATGGATCATATTTACCCAAGTTAGCTGCGTGAGGTGCACACTGGATTAAAATTGAGACTGCCAGCCAGAATGGAAGAGCAAACAGGCTTTTGGGTAGGCGTAAACAGAAACTGCAATGGGGTGAAATTAGATATTGAGAACCTCATTGGTACAGAGTGCTGTAAGAAATCAGGAGACATTTACTGCCCTGAAAAGAACAAAGGTCTAAGATTGTGGTTCTCCACCATGTTAGACTTAGCAGACCCTGTTTAATGTTGGAACATGATATCTGTCATACCAGTTTCATCAGAAAATGAAATTCACATGATATAACCGATCTGTATACATGATTTTAAAGAGTCAGTCAATGCCTTTATAGTATTATAAAGGGGAAATAAAGTCAATTTGTAATAAAATATTGTGCATTTCAGTATGTAAATGCCCACATACTACACCATTAGAAGACAGTGAAGTACTCAGGTGCTTGTCCTGAAGTATGGAAGAAGAAAAATTCTTCAGTAGAGTATTGTTGGCACTGTTCAATATTCTAAATAAAGACAGAATTTATGGCTCATGAAGAGCTATAATTTTACAACTTTAAATACATATTGATAACAGGTGTGTTTTATTGGTGAGTAAAAAACGGTGAATGATAATACTGTTGGAAACATTTTCCAAAATGGTGATCAATTCTTGCTAAAGTTAAAAGAATAACATTCTCAGTTGTAGGATGGTTTTGTCCTTAGTGAATATTAAAATTGTATATACAAAGAAGCAAAACAATAGTTCTTGGTTCAGATAATAAAAAGGAGGCTTTAAATTTGTTTTATTTTAGGATAGTTTTAGCTTTACAGAAATGTTGCAAAGATAGCACAGAGTTCCCATATACCCATACCCAGTTTCTCCTAATTTTAAAATCTTACGTTAGTATGATACTTTGTTACAACTAACAAATCTATATTGATGTTATTAACTAAAGTCCGTACTTAGTTCAGACGTCCTTAGTTTTTACCTACTTTTTCTGTTGCAGGATGCCATCCAGGAAGTCCCATTACATTTGGTCAGAAAGTGACTGATAGGCTCCTCTAGACTGATAGTTTTTGAGACTTTCCTTGTTTTGATGACTTTGACAGTTTTGAGGAGTAGTAAGTAGGTATTTCATAGAATGTTTTTCAATTGGAATTTTCTGTCTTTTTTTTTGTCATGATGAAACCGGAGTTATGGGTTTTGGGGAGGGGGGAAGACCACAGAGGTAAAGCGCTCTTCTCGTCACACGGTATCCAGGGTACATGCCATCAGTATGTCACTGATGACGCTGACCATAATCACCTGGCTGAGGTAGAGTGTGTCAAGTTTTTCCACTGTATAGTTATTCTCTGGCACTCCTTTCCATATTGTACTCTTTGGGAGGAACTCACGTGAGGCCCACTCTTGGTGGGGAGTTACGCTCCACCTTCTTGAGGGGAAAAGTAGGCTTTTTACCTATTTGAATACTCAGTGGGACTTTCCAGATTTGTATGGGCCGTTACAGGATATCTAACATCCCTGCTCACCGTCCACTAAATACCAGTAGCGAATCCAACCAAAAATGCCCCACAAGTCTCCAAAACAACCTTTAGGGGTCAGTACTGCCCCGTTGGGAACCGGGGGTCTAAGATTTCCAATTTTCATTTATTTAGAATGTGAATTTGAAGCATGTATAATGAAATCTGAACACAGAATTCATAGTTTTATGCTTTCCTCCTTATTTGCATATGATTTTTTCTGCCTCTAATTCAGCAGAAATTTATTTTAGCTATTTGCCTTTGAGCAAATCTTCAGAATATTCAACTTTCTTTTTACATAAATTCATTTTATTGCTTTATATATTTCGTTCAATTGTATGGTCAGAATGACAAGGATAATTGGATTTAACGTGTTGGTAATGGACACAATGGACTTGACAAGCAACTCACCTGGGGAAGCAGAAATGCACAGGTGGCTCAGAGGTCAGCCAACTGGTTATAGTCACTCAGCCTGCCAGGCACCAGTTCTTTACTGAGGAAGTGCTGGGTCAGGTTAATACAATAATAGGTCAAGTGGAAATTGGTTAAGAGAATTTCTACTGTAAATGCCTGGAAATGAGTCCTATGAATGTTAGCAAAGACTGCAGAAGATTTTTTTTAAGTGCCAGTAGCCAGGACTGCTAGAGTTGTGATGAAATAAGCGCACTTACAGACTTCATCCAAATTACACATAAATTTTGCAATATGTTTCAAGTCATTAAAGACCTAAAATGTTCACATTTTATCTGGTAATATTGTGATATTCTGGGAATTCTGTTTCCTAGAAAATAGAGATCTTAGTTTAAAATATATTCAGTTTGTTGCTTGCATCATTTTTATGCCTGCAACATTTTTGCATAATAGCAAAAAATTAGAAACAAATGTCCAAAAATGGGGAACTAGTCAACTTTTATAGTATCTACAGTGATAGAATATTACCTGTTCTGTCAATTTTAACACCATTAAATTGTGTTTTCAAGGAGCATTTAAAGATGGAGAGAAATGCTCATGAGATAGTAAGTGAAAAAAGCAGAATGCAAACTTATGTACATTATGCTTTTGTTTGAAAAGAAAA